GGCATGAAAAAGGGAGCGGATTTTGGACATCTGTTTACAAGTATGTACTCCTGACACGTATGCAGGAAACTTGTGTAAGAAAGAAGATTTCACCTTTGCCTTTATTATTTTATTTGCCTTTCTCCGGCTCTCCAGCCTACCTGGAAGGCACGAGGGTGGGTGACACAGATAGCTGTCTCCTCTGCCTTTTATCTTCACCACCTCATTGTAAGGTAGATTAAAATGACAGATAGCAGGTGGTCAGTGGTCATGGGGTGAGTTTAACAGCTGATTGGGTGACTGAACTGAAGACACCCTCTCTGCAGCAAACCAGCAAATGACAAGCAAATGACATTTGAAGAGTTTTGCAACATTACAAGTAGTGATGTAAATTCTTGCTTTTCTCCTCCTCACAGACAAAGAAAAGGATTTTATAACATTCCTGCCAGTGGCAAGAATGCTGAGGAATGTTTGGGGGCTTTTTTAAAAATAGAATTCTAAAATCAGAAAGATTTATATTTCCTGTGAAATTTCCCTCTTTTTTGGTACAAAATTATGTCATTTGCCAATTGCACGAATTACCTGAAATTAGGAAGACTGCCATTTTCTTTAAGAATTTATAACAACTTAAATGAGTTGCTTGCATGTTTCTTAATAATCAGCCCATTCTTTTATTGCTTGACCTCTGAAAGAGAAAAAAAACACTGGACAAGTTTTACTAAACTACAGAGAACTGGTGAGAAGATCTTTGTCTTTTTCTCTGATGGAAGTGAGAAATCTCATAGACCTTTTAAATTCTTCCTCAGGGTTATGTTGAGACAGCCGAAATCGAATGACAGTGAGGGGTTTGGCACATGTTCTTTCCATCCATGAGGGGCAATGGTAGTAAACATTGTCTGGGCTGCATTTCTCTTTGCCATGCAGTTAGTTGTTCAATGTTCAGGAGGACAGAGGAGAAAAATAAAGTTCTTTAAGGAAAATAAAACTCCAGATGTACCAATGAGAGTAGTCTGGGATGCAGGAAAAGCAAAATTAAGAGGGATAGTTATAAAGCACGCAGCAAGATAAAAACAAGGGAAAAAAATACTGCACAAAAATACAAAGAATTAGAGAAAAAAACTCTTCCAGTTAGAACAGTCAAAACAAAATAGCTCAATTGAAAAACTAGTAGATAATATGAAATCAGTACAACGTCAAATAAATCTGTGGTGGATGCCAGAAATGGCAATAAAGATAAAACAACCGAAACAAAATTTCTTTAAAAGCTCCCACACAATGGAAAGTCCTTGAATCCTGCATTTTCAGGCATTACCCACAATTCTGAGTTGTCCTTCATTCTGCAACAAAATTGTAAGCATTCTGAGGCTGTGAAGGGTTCTTAGCCACTTTAGACTGCAGGAGGGAAATCACGTTCTATAATACTCCCATGAATGTGAAAAACAAAGCTTTCCTGACGCCTGCACTTAGGAAGTACAAATAATAAAGGGTGGAACAGCTTTTTAACCTTTCCCCCCACCCTATGCAAAATATGCATCATATCTTTATGTGAATAGCCATTCCCAGTCTTATTGCCTGTAGTGGCAATAATACCACACTGGATTACCTCAAGATTTTACCACCTCATTATACTACGTAGACATAGAGGATACAGCATTTGCTAGCTGAACTTTTTTTCCTCACTGTTCCTTCTTCACCAGTTAAATATCTCATCCCTTGCTAGTATTGTATTTGTTCCTCTGAAATGTTGTTGTTATAATTAACATTTACATAGCACTAGACGCGTTCAAAGAACTTTGCACATTCTTGCTCATTGCAGCATCGTTGCAAGAAGTCCAGCTTTTAGACTACAAAGATACATTGGACAGAAGTCATGTGGGCTGAAGTAGCCGACAAGTATATGGCCTTTGGACTGGATTGCTGACCTGTGAAATGGCCTGCCAGTCTAATGGCATTGAGGGAATCTTTGGCGCTGTCCTTTGAAGATGCTGGCCACAGAGACTGGCGAAACGTTAGGAAGAACAACCTTCAGAGCACGGCCAAAGAGCCCGAAAAACCCACAACAACCATTAGATCCCGGCCGCGAAAGCCTTTGCAAATACAATCTTTGGTTTGTTTCATAAATAGCACGATTGACTGCTTCCTGTTGGCAAAAAGAGCTGATGAGTTCTCCCAGCTTGGACTTTTGCATGATGAACAGAGAGAAAAGAAGAAGGAGAAGACAGATTTATGATGCCTGTGGCAACAAGGCTCTGGCTGAACTAGAAGACAATGGAACAGTGTGGACAGGTTACAAACGTTGATACTTTCAGTAGCTCTAGGCCCAGACTGTACCTTGACAAGATGCCATGATCACATCATGTGCCACAGGACGAAAGGATGATTTAGTCTCTCAGATTAAGAAAAAAGAAGGTTCCATGTTCTTTTGCCCTCAGCTTGTCATCTACCACGACAGAACTAAATTTTAGCGGTGAAAGTAAGGAAGCCAACCGGAATGTAGGAAAATTAGGGCCATCAGGGGAACAATTGTGGCTTGGGACAAGGTGACTCAGAGCCACATCACACTTTCACACTCATGTACAGATGCTTTTCAGTCCACTTTTTCTCATATAATTTTTACTTCGCAGGTTTTGACTGTTCTGGGGCCTTATTTTCCTTGATTCCGAGAGATGTTTCAGTGTTTACAATGAATCTGAGTATTCCTTCTAGGAGATTCTATACCTCCTTTACTGACTTATTTTATTTATTTATTTCTTACACACACAGACACGCCAGTGATTTCATAACTTTATATTTTTCCTACTGATTTTTCCCATCTGAATTTTTCTGGATCCATTCTCCGGCACATTCCCCTGAGTCTTCAGGAACGTGTTCCCTGTAATAGATATCAATACATCTTTCTTTCTCACTCTTTAAGCCAAAGACTGCTAATCACCCAGGAACATAGCGAGCATCAACCAGAGGGCTGGTGGAGGAATAGGGGTGAACGTAGTGTTTTTGAAGGGCTAACTGTGGCTGTTTTTGCATATTTCATCTGATACTTTAATCCCAACTGTTTTGATTTGCCCTTTTCATCTCATCCTTCCATTGTTCTGTGTTAGAAATTCATTGATTTTTTTCCTTTGGTTTTTTAATATATATTGTGCCTTCATTTTGTGGCTTATATTCTCTGTTTATCTGCTGGGATTTAAATACGTCTTCAATTGGATTGCCCCTGTGAATAGCCTAAAATCATCTCTGGGTACACCTTTCACCCACTGAGGCAAGTAAAAGTGCTCATTTTCACAAGGTAAAGTAGTATTAGGGCTTGTTTACAAGGTGTGAAAGGAGCAGCCAAGATTGAACAAAACAGGGTTGCTATGAAGTCTGGTATGTCATGTGGTATGATCCACACATCCAAATGACATACAGACCTCAAATGGCCCTATTTTGTCTGCAGCCTTTGCCAGCTGGAAATTAATTTCTTCCTCCACTCTGTAGAGGAACTGAGGAAGTGAAAAATTTTAAAGTGTGTTTTGTTTTAAGACAGTGAATATTTGCTGCAGCAGTTTTTTAAAAAAGACCAATGGTTTGCTTTTCTCTTAAAGGTCCAATGGAGAGCTTCTCCTAAGCCTTCCTCAGCCAAACTGGGCAGATCTCAATGAGACCTTTAACAGAAAAACAAGCAAAAGCTTCTGGGAGGAAGGTTTCTGTGACGTGTGCCATGACGTCACCTGCCTGTCTTGGCTAACAAGCAAAAGCTTCTGGGAGGAAGGTTTCCATTTTTTAAAAAGTGGTACAGCAAGTATTCGCTGCTCTCATACACACTTGTTGTTTTTTTCCCACTTCCTTGGCCCTTCCACAGATCAGGGTGTGAGAAAAGTGCAGACAGGATGGCAAATACGTCATCTGATTGTCAGCTTTAGAGCGAACCAGCCCATCCCTGCAGAGCACCTATATAGTCAATCTCTTACTTTCATCCCAAACAAGAAGAGCTAAGCTTGCAAAACAAACGGCAACCTGCCAAAGCCCATGAGGTAGGTTTCCAGGTTAGATTATGTCCTGCCGACATCACACTCTTTATTACAACTCTCTTTCCAGTCGTGCTACCCTGTTTCCCCTAAAATAAGACCTAAACTGAAAATAAGCCTTAGTATGGTTTTTCAGGATGCTCGAAATATAAGCCCTACCCCAAAAATAACCCCCAGTTAAGCGAAACCCCGCCCTCCGCCCTTGTGCAGCAACCAGAAGAAGATGAAATGACAGTATTTGAATCAATGTAGATTGTTGTACATGAAAAAAAAACATCCCCTGAAAATAAGCACTAGTGCTTTTTTGGAGCAAAATTTAATATAAGACCCTGTCTTATTTTTGGGGAAATAGGGTAAGTCAGAGTGTGATCACACTGGGGAATGGATTGCAATTTGGACCATGTCATGTGATTTATTTCCTGGTGATCACAGGACACATGGGGGAAATACACTTCACCTTGACCCTAATCCGTGCCCAAGCTGGATCTTTTGGGTCCAGCTGTAGGGCTTCTGCTTTTTGGGGGCAGAAGGCAGTCATCCCAACCTATTCTGCTGCCTGAACCAAAACAACAAAGAGTAAACCACTTCCACTCACCCAAGGCAAGGGGCATAGCACACAAAGCCATCCTAATTATTTTGTCACATGAGACAGAAAATCCCATTGTTAAGCACTTATCTTCACTCCTGGTGGTAAAAATACAACAATAACAAATCGTGTAATTAATAATATTCATTAACACACACACACTCCAAATGTGTTGCCTGAGCACCTCATTCTGTCTAATGGTAGGACTGGCCCTTGTCTATCCCTTCCAAGAACACAAATAGGTTTTCAAAAGTGGCTCAGATATTCTCATTTAAACTGAGTCCCAGGTTTGAAGCAGTGCTTTGGATTTCTTTTCACACACACAACTTCTGTTAACATTGTGCTCTTCCTCTTCATCCCTTGTTCGACAATGAATAATAAGACCCTTGATAATGTATTTCAAAATTTGCTTTTTATTGGTTGACATGGATTGCCAGCAGAGGTTATGCTGGTTATTTGACAGGAGACAAAACTCTGAACAGGGCAGAGTGGAGGCAAATGTTTGTTGGTTTAACTAAACAACAAAGGACAGACAGCAGATGCCTTGGAAAAGCTCATTGGTTACCTAAGGGGGTGGTGGGTGCAATGGCCCAGAGCGGATGGATTGATAGGAGAGGAACGGGGTGTGTGTGTGTGTGTATTTTTGACTACAACTCCCAAATCCCTTAGTCAACATAGTCGGAACCCATATTAGCTAGGAGATTCTGGGTGTCATGGTCCAAAAAAAGTAACATTTCCGAGGCCCAAGGGAACACACTGGCAATAAGTAAACAATGAAAGAATCATATTAGTGGATTTTGAGGTGACTGAAAGAACGATCTAGCTCATTAATAAAGGAAAAGTGAAGCCCAAAGTCGTCCCTATTCTCTCCTTGAGTTTCCTTGCCTTGGTCCCCATCCTGTTGAGCAGTTTGTCTCGTGTTACTTTGCCTCCATTACTTTCAACAGGTGCTGCAATAAGTAGGGTAGACGTCCCAGTGGAAACCGATGGCATCGATGAGAGAACCAGAACTGCCGCTAAGGTAGCGCAGAACAGTGCCTGGATAAAGGGGGGCTGCGTTGAAGCTGGTGCCTGTGTCCTTTCCAAAGGGGAAGTAGCGTCCCTTATCAGTGACGAACACGAGTTTGCGGAGGTACCACTTGTATTTTCCGGTGGCTTGGATGATGGACTCGCCAGGGTGCAGGAAAACCTCTTCCAGGTCACCAGATGAGCCACCTACGTAGTCACTCCACTTTGTGCCATAACGGACCTGGAGTCTTCAATAAAGCAAAGCATGTATAAGTTAGGGGAAGATGGAGGTTTGGGGCCAACTATTATCTGTGTCCATTAGGGCTCAACAAAGCCTCACTATGTGTCAGGTGGCTTTTATATGGCTCTTCTCTTTGCTCCCTACTGATAGCAAGCCTGAGAGGTACCTTACACTGAAGAGAGATCCAAGATCACCCAGTGTGTTGCATGGTTAAATGGGTATTTAAACATTATTTTATTTATTTACATTTCTGTGTTACCTCTCTCCGCCTCTCTCCAAGTCGGCTCACAAGTTATTCAAAACAACAAACCAACTAAAGTCACAATAAATTATGGCATTAAAAGACAATGAATCACACACAACATTAGAACAATGAATTAGTAAAAATTGTTAAAATCTCCTTTAAAACACATGAAAAAGCACATAAAGTAATAAGAATATCCAGTACAAGATCAAAAACTACCTAATTAATTGTTGAAGGCCTATCTTTTAAAAATGGTATTTGCCTGTCACTGGAAGGACAAGAGTGAGGGAACAACTCTTCGTTCTTAAAAAGCCTAGTTCCCTAGGTATTTCAACTTAGTAGCCAACAATAAGGTGATATCCTGCCCAGACAAGGCTTCTCCTGTCACTCTGCCAAACGGGATGTCATTGTGGGTTGTAGGTGGGTCACCTTCCCCTGGATACAATCTTTGTGTGTGTGTGTGTGTGTGAGAGAGAGAGAGAGAGAGAGAGAACTAGAGGCCAGTGGGACTAGAGGCCACTGAATTTTCACTCTGTTTCTGCACCCACCCCTCTTCTCTCTCATCCTCTTCTTTCTGGATTTGGGTCAGGTCATTTGCCTCAGAAGTCTGAATCAAGCAAGAAGCAGTCAGAAATGACAAGGGCTCTCAGCAGGTAGAAGACAACTGGGAGACAACTGTGTCCTTCAATCTGATTCATGTCACAAAAGACGTGCTCATGACAGCTGTGTACACTGTCACATTCTTGCACTAAAGGGAGAGGAGGGAGGGAGAGGAAATGGAAATCACATTCTTCCTCCCACAAAACATTGTGGTTTCAGACCTGGGAAAGCATAATAACCCAAGGGCAAAGCTAATAGGAGAGAAGGTAGCCTGAATTTTCTGCTTTCCAGAGAAACAAATGTGTAAGGAATGATAACTGTCTGGAAAGGAGGTCTTCGCCAGCTGTCAAATGTGGACCACTATTTTTTAATCAGGACTTGCACAACTGCATCACAGAGGCTGAAAAAGAACTGGAACAAAGTTGATGTCCCACATCCCTCAGGCTACTAGGATCTGCTCTGATTCCACTATAGAGATGAACACCAAATAGAGTGGCTACTACATCCAACTTGAGGCAGGGATGTGCTAGCTTTTTCTCATCTTTTAGATTTGCACATAAATTGGTTTTATTTTAGTATTTGTATAGACACAGTAAGGGTGCCCCTACACAGCAGGAAAAATGTGAATAGATCCACCGTGAAGTCACACCTGGGAAGTCAGGTTTCCTCAGTTAATTCAGTTCAGCCAACCATACAGGAGTTAGTAGAGAGAAGGGAGTAAGTTAGCCTTGTTTACAGCTTATTAACTGTTTCAATCCTCTTTCCCTGCCTTCCCCAACACCTGGTGCCTGGGTCTGTTTGCACCAAAGAAGAAGGGGAAAACTATGAAAACTATGGACTGATCTGCATTGACTTTTATGTCATGTAGTCAACAAAAAATAATGCAAGTAAGACCGTCCCAATTCCAGAGCAATTCTCAGATTGTTTGTTGATGTAGTTGCACCCTAAGTCTCCAGTGCTGGATTGTGGAATCTTTCATCCTCCTAATGACATGGACTACAGTTCTCACCATCCTTACCATATAGATCATGCTTTGTAGGGCTGATGGGAATTGTAGGCCAAAACATTTGAAAAGCTGTCCTTTCCAAAGTAACCTCACTCCCCTGCACACACACACAATGTAAGGATCATACAACTATTCCTCAGTTCTCACCATTCCTGACTGAAAAGCAGAAGTTTCTCTGCCCCCAGTTCCCATATCTTCATACACTCCTTACCCCACAATGTAGTAGCGGCTAACCCGAACCCTAAAGGCCGTTATTGGTCCGTCCAGTTGGTTCGAAGACTGTGAGAAGCGTTTTCCTCCACCTCCGCCATATTCCCCAGAATAGGAAGAAGACAGTTGAATGGGCCCTGAAACAAGACCCATGAAAGTGAGCAGAAAGCCAGCCATATCCTTCCCAGTCACGCATTCCCTATAGAAAAAAATGACCCCACCCCATGGTGGGCTTCAGCCTGGGATTTACCTGCATTGATAGCGATGCCGCAGCACAGCAGAGCAAGGAGGGTGAAACAAAGCATCCTAGAAAGAGCATTTTATAGAAAGCATTAATGGATTTTAATTAACATTAATTCTCAGTACATATACTGTTAGGTCTTACTGCACTATTAATAAGTTACTGCATATCCTTTGTTCCAGACTTCTGAGAATTTTCCACACAGGGTTCCATTTTCATCTTCTTTTATTCTGTACAACAGCCCTTTGAGGTAGGTTAAGGTGAAAGATTGGGACAGGTTCAAAGCCACACATGTTCTTCACAGTAGAACAAGCATATGAATCTAGGTCTCTCTCGCTGCATTCCAACACACTGTCCACTGCCTCACACTGTTACTTGATGCTGCGTGAATGGTAATTAACAACAACAACAACAACAACAACAACAACAACAACAACAACAACAAAGAAAATCTGGAGACCCCTCCAACTACTTACCCAAATCTATAGCTGCAGATCAGAGCTATCTTTACCCCCACCCCGATAAGCCACTTCCCTCAATCACATCAAGACTCTTCTAGAAATTATAGAGTGTGGTATTATGGCATTATCCAGCACCAAACATCCAGGTTATTAGGGCCGATTGTGCTTCTACCCATGGTTTGGTCTCTGGGTTTGTTCTGTGTGGAGAAGTTCCCCTACTGTGCACTTAATTACAGTGGGGTCTTGACTTAAGAACGGCTCGAGTTAAGAACATTTTGACTTAAGAACCACTCTCATAGGAAAATATTGACTTGACTTACATACTTAGATTTGAGTTAAGAACTGAAAAAAACCACGTGGGAGGCAGGGAAAGTGCAAAATTTGAACTTTCAGTTAACTGTTGGCCAGTGAAAAGGGTGCCTGTCTGCTTCCTCACTCCTCCCAGCGTTTAGAGAGTGGATTGGGAGACAGTCTGCAGACTGCCTGGTACTGGACTGCCTGGACTGTATTTTCCCTGCCTTCCCTGCACCTTTCTTGACCTAAGAAAAAAAGAAACAAAATATCCCCCCTCTAGTGGTCGAAGGCAGAATAGCAGCTTCCCATTAGTTTCTATGGACGGAAAAGAGCAGATACGGATCAAATGGTTTTCAATGCATTCCTATGGGAACTGCAGATTTGACCTGAGAACTTTTTGACTTGAGAACCGCCTTCCAATACAGATTAAGTTCTCAAGTCAAGACCCCACTTGTATTACATATTACATCCGTGCTTTGAAAATAGCAGGATGACTTGGGGAGTCCAGTTTTAAATGCCATCTGTGCCCCTTTATTTCTCTGGCTGTTTTGAATCTGGACTCTCCTCAGCCTAGAATTTAAAATAATTTTCAGATAGATAGGGAGTTTGTTTCCCCAGTGTGGATCCCAGGAGAAGCACCAACCTACGTAGCCTTGGGCAAACTGCACCTTCCCAGGGAAGGTAAACCCCCTTTGAGCACTCTGTACCTAAGAAGGCTTGGAAAGGGCCACCAGAAGTTGGAATCGACTTGATGGCACATAAGTAGGACTCTTAGAGGGAGCAAAGATAATGATCTAGAAATTAAATGATCCTCCACAGACTTATACTACAGGTGCCTTTGATCCTCCAAATTTCTCTTTCTGAAGAATGGAGGAGATGTGTATATTTACCTGCAGATGCCAGGCTGTTGTTCCTGTCATCCCTACTGGACATAGTGGTTTCAACAGCACCGGGAACACTGCAAATTCCCTACCTCTGCTTTAACAGGTAAGCTGTGTTAGAACAAGCCAGATTTCCCCACAGCTCCTGAAACAGGAATGCCAAATATGTCTAGAAGCAGGAGTTGACAAAGTCACAATATAGAATCCTTAAGATTTGGGGAATACTAGAGATCGCCTCAGTCCCAGAGAGCCCCATATAATGCAGACACTCTACTTAAGAGGCACACCTAAAGAAAGATATAACATTATTACAGCACAATGCGGAAGGTCCCATCCCATCCCTCACCTACCTTGCAGCTCAAGCAGTGCTGAGACGGAGGGTGGCGGATGAATTGTCCGTAAGATCAGCTGAAGGAAAGCATCATGCTTTATACCATCAGTGGCATCGTCTTATCTCTAGAAGCTGTTTGCTGGACAAACACCATTCCTATATTATAAAATGATTTAATGGGCATTTCCCAAGGAGTGAGACAAACAAATCATATCTTCTTTGACTAGGCCACGGCAGCCACCTGCTGGGAGGGGGCCAGGCCTCGTTTGGGTCTCTATGTACTACTTGGCAAGGGAAAGGATCCTTCTGTGGGCAGGACTGCTCATCCTGAATTCCAATACAGATTAAAAGAATGTTGAGGATAAAAGAATGTTGAGGAGGCGTATATGAGGTCTTGAAACTGCTCAGCTGTGATTAGTACCTGGACAGTCCCATGGGTCCCTTTGCCATAGTATTAACCAACACAGCTGGGTGTGCTGTTGCATTGTTACCCAAATGGGTCCCTGTTCTTTATATCCTGGGAAGAAGGACCATGAGATGAGAAAGAGAGAGCAGTCGGATTACTGACAAGAAGACCATATACCAATCATTTAGGGTTAAGCACTATTCATGTAACATTTATTGATGAGACATAAGACATAGGATATAAGACAAAAGGTACCAAGAGGCCTGTCTTTCATACATCCCATTCACACAAGATAATCGATCCTCCAAAACACCATTCTCTGGCGGGTGATTAGTCCTCAGAAAGGGTGATGAGAGCCATAGTGGCCAAATCCCAACTATCTCTTCCTGGATCATCTTTCTTATAGGCACAGAACTTCCTTGTGGGCAATCAGGGGTCAGACTCTGTTTTCCTGGTGAGATATAATCTGTTGCCATGCAGGAATGCTTCCTTTCGCGTGTACAGTTTGCTCCATCTGCCACAGATTTGGCTTCAGCTAGCCTGTTTCCTTTTTCTTGTCTGGACAAGCAAATCCTCATTTAGAATGTTCTTTCTCTGACAGATTTGGCTTCAGCTAGCCTGCTTCCTGTTTCTTGTCTGGACAAGCAAAGCTTCATTTAGAATGTTCTTTCTACGTCTGTGGTTTCTTACTGCTATGGAAACTTGAACTCTTGCAATTCTTTGCAGATTTGTGTCAGGCTCCCCATCCCATCTTCCCTTGCAATTTATCCATCTTCTCAGGTCTGGGGTGCTGGTCTTTCTAGAACCCCCACACACTCCATCACACTCCGTCACTCATAACAGCATTTCTATTCAAATTACAGCAATGGTTTTAAGATTTGCATCTAAACATATGTGTCACCACATACACTTTTCACATAGAGCTGTCTCATTTGAACAAGGATGGGGCTGGGGAAAGAGGAATGTATGCCTAGCCAGTGTGGTGTGGTGGACAGAGGTACAGACAAGGACTCAGAACACCTGAGTTCAAATCTCTACTCAGCCACGGAACTTCAGAAGGGCTGGCACTGGTAAAACCACTTCTTAAATACTGTACAGTACCTCATTTGCCTTGAAAGCCCCATTAAGATCACTATAAGTTGGTTCTGACTTGAGAGAATATAGCAAATATGTTAATAATAATAATAATAATAATAATAATAATAATAATAATAATAATAATAATAATAATAATAATAATAATAATAATAATAATAATAATAAGTTTACATACAAAGGGATATGCATGGCACCTTTAGTTCCTATGTATGGAGGAATGTATAATGTTAAAAAAACACAACCCTAAGCGCTATACAAGTAGAAAATGGGTGCAGTGAACTGCTTATACAGATTGTTCTCCTTGGCACTTCAAGTGAGTATATTTTTTTCCCAGATTAAAGGCCTTATTCTTGATTAAGCAAGCATCACATTGCAACCCCAGGATCTTATTTGCGTGATGGATGAAATCCCCCCAACTACTAATTTGTGAAGAAATGAAAAGCAAAGCGCCCCCCCCCCGCAAAACGAAGTATCAAGGCCCAAGCCAAGAGCAAGGGTGTTAAGATTGCATGCCAGGAAGGACAGAGGACAGACCTCCTGGTAGGGCTGGGCCATGAGAAAGGCTGTAATGAAATTACTAGAGCTATCCAGATAGGAAGGAGGCCCTCGCCTGCAATTAAGGCACACCTCATACAGGAAGCTTGGTGCCTGGTTCTGTCAGGCCCGGCCCAGCCAGATTGTGTTCTAAGAAAACATGGGTGGACTGCCAAAGGAGAGTCCAAAGGGTGTTCTGGAAATATACCTTAGACAAGGGAAGCTAATTTACCTTACCTGGTCCTTCTTTTACAACTCTTAAATGCATACGTCAAACGCCATATGCTCTGGGGAGGGGCACAGATTTTTATCAGTTGACATTAAGGTTCTGTTCCATAATTTACAAGCTAGGAAAAGGCTCTGTGCTACAGAAAAGGATCTAGAGCAATAACCAGTCCACGTCCCCCAGAATAGGTGTACCTGCAAGATAAAGAGTTTTATGCACACAATGGCTACTTTCAAATCCACAAAGTCTTGGCGGACAACTTCCCATTTCTGAGTATCTCTCCATCCAATCCTGTACATCTCCACAAACTTTATTATATTAAGAAATTAATCCCATGTTCTTCTGTGAATCTTCCCTTCGGATTATTTCTTCCTCAATTTCCCCCCTGCTTTTATTCTTCTGTTTTTGCTCCTATTTCCCTTTTCCTGTTCATTTTTCCTGCCTCCCACTTTCCATTTTTCCTTAATGTCCATTCTCTTTCCATCTGTTTTCCCATCTACCGTATTTCTTTTTTCCAGTTTTTCCCTGCCTAAGTTTTCCCCATCTATTATTTCTCTTTCCTACTTCCTGCCTTTGCCTATCCTATGTATTTCTACTACCGTTCACCTTATTTTCCAATTTTCTTTCCTCCCTTACAGTGTACTATATTTTCAGCATCTCTTTGCTTTCTCCCCCTGCCCCCATTGTTCCTGCGTTCACATCACTGTAGTGTTTCAAGTGAAGGACTAAAATCTAGAAGATCCCAGGATTTAGCTTCAAATCTTAGTTCAGCCATAAATCTCAGTGTCCACACTCAGACCAGTCACCATTTTTGAAGGTTCTTGAAGATGCTGTATTTTTCCCCTTTAAGTTCCTCATTAAATGCTGCCCTTAACAGAAACTTTACCAACATTCAGACAATGTTCCTGTTATCTTATAACAAAAACAATAGTAGTGTTTCAAGTGAAGGACTAAAATCTGGAAGATCTCAGGATTTGGGTTCCAATGCTAGGAGGAGGATGAGAGTCATCTCAGTGTCCACACTCAGACCAGTCACCATTTTTGAAGGTTCTTGAAGATGCTGTATTTTTCCCCTTTAAGTTCCTCATTAAATGCTGCCCTTAACAGAAACTTTACCAACATTCAGACAATGTTCCTGTTATCTTATAACAAAAACAATAATCATTTTAGAATTACAGAGCTGGAAGGGACCCTTTGGGTCACTATGAGTCCAGCACCTGCCACATGGGGAATCAAACTCCCAACCTCTGGCTTGGAGATCTAAACCACTGAGCTACATATGAAGGTATACACAAGATTTCCCCATTGCATCTTTTTGCTCCTCCCAAACCTGTTGGTTTAGTTCGTGCTGTTTTGCACTAGGATGGAGTTTAGCACTGTAGCACTGTGCCACTTTGTTTGCCAGTCTGAAACGTGTCTTTTTTAAAGGACCTAGCGCTATACCGCCTGTATTCAAAAGCAGGAGTGTGTGTGTGAGACTTAATGCTACAGTGCTTCCCCAATCTCCAGTATTTTCACTGATCAAAATACAGGGGAGATGGAAGGCTAAAGAAGCAGTCAAGAGACCTGATTGCTCAGGATTAACAGCTCCTGAAAGTTGGCACCGGTGCCCACGGCTCCAATGCTAGGAGGAGGTTGAGAGTCGTGGCAAGAGACAGACTTCAGGAGGCCACCGTTGGCCCCACAACTCAACACCCAAAGGCTGCACAGCTCTCTTGCTTCTCACTTTGGAAGCAAGGAACCAATTTGGACACAAATCCAGTGCTTTTTTTTGGGGGGGGGAGCAGCTCCATAAAAGTGGGAAAGGCTGTGCAGAACCTGTTGGTACCAATGCTGTGCCAGGAAAATCCTTCCACCTCACCTACCTATTATTGTGCAGAAACAAAGGGGAGCGGGAAGAAACACACACACACAGGCCTAAACTCCTTGGAGGACGAGCGAGATGGAAATTTAACAAATAAATATAACCACCTTCTCCTTCTTCTTTGGTTTTTGCCTTTTTGTTGTGTTCCTTTGGATTTTGGCTGATACGCTTGCACAGACTAACAACGGCTACCTCTTCCAAGACCACAGCTTCCTATAATGTTGTAGTCTTATTTTTCCCAGTGGTGTGTGTTCTCCCCTTTCCTGTTTCTCAGTTATCTGACCTGGAGCCTATCCTTCTCTATCCCCCTTTCTCATCACTGTAGTGTTTCAAGTGAAGGACTAAAATCTGGAAGATCTCAGGATTTGGGTTCCAATGCTAGGAGGAGGATGAGAGTCATGGCAAGAGACAGACTTCAGGAGGCCACCGTTGGCCCCACAACTCAACACCCAAAGGCTGCACAGCTCTCTTGCTTCTCACTTTGGAAGCAAGGAACCAATTTGGACACAAATCCAGTGCTTTTTTTTGGGGGGGGGAGCAGCTCCATAAAAGTGGGAAAGGCTGTGCAGAACCTGTTGGTACCAATGCTGTGCCAGGAAAATCCTTCCACCTCACCTACCTATTATTGTGCAGAAACAAAGGGGAGCGGGAAGAAACACACACACACAGGCCTAAACTCCTTGGAGGACGAGTGAGATAGAAATTTAACCAATAAATATAACCAGCTTCTCCTTCTTCTTTGGTTTTTGCCTTTTTGTTGTGTTCCTTTGGATTTTGCCTGATACGCTTGCACAGACTAACAACGGCTACCTCTTCCAAGACCACAGCTTCCTATAATGTTGTAGTCTTAATTTTCCCAGTGTTGTGTGTTCTCCCCTTTCCTGTTTTTCACTTATCTGACCTGGAACCTATCCTTCTCTATCTCACTTCTCTCTCCTTCTTTCTTTCCTTGTGTGTCCCTCTCTCTCTCTTTTTATCCCCCTGTAAATAAACCCACACAGACTTGGCGCCAGGAGGGGACCATCTTCCCTCCCTCTCCCTCTTCCCCCTCCCCTGGATGCGTCCTCGTCTGCCTCTCTCCCGGCGGCCGGTAGATGGGGTCCTCCGGCTCCGGCTCAGCCTCGCTTGCTCTGGGCCGCCGCTTTCTCCTTCCTGCCGGCCCACCTTCCTCCCTCCTGCCCGGAAAGATGGATCCGCAGCGCCTCTAACAAAGACCCTTGCCACGGTCGGTCTGTAAAAGGCTGCCGCCTTTGAGCCTCATCGCAAATGTTATGAGAAAGTAATCCGTGCTTCTAGAAAGCGTGTGTTGAAAATCCTGATGCTTTTCAATGTAACTAACCCTGCAGGGATGTCTCTCTACGTGATCGGGGTGCTATTGAGGAGGCTGCAGCTTGGCGATGCAGCGCAATCAAGGTACTCGCTCTCCTCCCTAGCCCTCTAACGTGACCCAGTCAGGAGCGCAGCGTGCCGGAGAAGGGAAAAGTCGTGCTCCTTCTCACTCTCATCCTGAAACCTCCCCGCGACTATCTGGCGTGTTTCCCCCCCCCCCCCCGGGGGGGGCGGGGGGGGGGGGGGTACCCCCTTCCGCGCGATGGGCCCCCCCCCCTCCCCCCCCGCCAATGGAGAGGGGCTCCCGTGTCGGTAGGGTGGCCTTTCCCCGTGGGTTTGGGGACTGGTGCATGCAAGGCGCTTTTTTTCCTGCACCACTGGAAATATTTCATTATCTCTGGAGGGCCCCCGAGATTTACCTTGCTGTGTTTGTAGGAAGGCTTCCTCTCCTCCATTATTCACGGGATAACCACCCCCACCCCCAATCATCATCTTCTTTTACCCTCCATCTGAACTTCATTCCCATTAGGGGACCTTGGCTTTCCTAAAACCTGCATCATTCCAAGGGGAGGCCTGGCCCTTTCTCTGTCTTCTGGAGTAACTTCCCCAAAGTGATCCCCCCCCCTCACTCCACCCCCAGACAGAGCAGCCCTTCCTTCATCTTGCAGAACTCATCCACGCCATCCTTTCAAAACTGTGGAGAACTCCCACAATATACTTGAAAGTTTCCCCATTTCTTCAGCCTTGATTTGAAATTCTCATCACTTCCTGAGAGATCTGCTCGCTTACGCCGACCAATAATTTATTTTGCAAACCCCCTCTTATTTCCATCTAATTTCATCTTACTAGAAAGGCAATAGATCCCAGTATTCTGAAGTGCCCTTCCAAAATCGATTCCCATTTGCTTGATTCCCAGAGAACCCCCCTGAATTTGAATTTGGTCCTCTCACCATTGCTGCTCTTACTAACCATATATGTGCACAAGGCTCCCAGAAATTATCATTTCTTTATCAAAGAAGAGGCTGAACTTTCCCTTCAACTCAGGTAAGACCCCATGATTTGTATGAGCTTGCAAAAGGATAATAATACATGGCCTAAATTCGAGTTGCACAGTGAGAGAAAATCGGAGTGCTCATCTACTTTCTATTAGATACCTCTTAAAAATCCTAATCCCAGAGGTACCTCGTTGAAAAGAAACAATAATCTTCCCAGATTAATAAGTGATCCTATCTGATCTTTTCACTTTTTGTTTAGATACCTCAACCTTCCTCCCTCCCCCAATTTATTAGATTTCTTCTGAATTTTCCTTTTAAAAAAAACCTTGAGGATGCTAAATTTAGGATGATACTCTGGAGAAAGCCCCTAAACTTACCATGAAATAGTACCTGGTGTCTTCCCAAATCTGAAAGAAGTGTTTTAGCTAAACTAAGGATTTCATAGATAGAATCATCATAATTTCAACTAAAGAATACCTAATGTAGACATCTGAGACCTGCGAAACTATCTCCCACCGTGCCCAGATCTGAGATACCTCTACTGCCCATTAGCGGCAACTCTATAGGGCCTTCTATATTGAAAAGGATCTCAGGATACCTCCTCAAACATTAGAACATAAGGTAAATTCTGGTGCTGAGGCTGTAGCACTGTTAGCAACACTCCCTGATGAGAGATTGTGGGATCCCATGAACCTTTGAACACTCAAAGTTGCAGATATTTCTTCAGTCTTTCATACTTATCCTCAAGAATAGCTCTCCACCCCTGGATGCCCACAAAGATCCCCACAGTTCTTTCATGCTGAAAGGACGCCTTGAAATCATCATTCCACTTTTTTTGATTCTGTACAAAATCTAAGCAACTACCCCAGAATCCAAAATTGTTCTTTCTCTCTCTCCTTCTCTCTCACACACACCCTACTTTGTCCAATGGCTTTTCAGGACCCCAACCATCCCCTGCAAGCTCAGCTTTGTAGCAATGTTTTTGGGGCACTGACGGGGTTAATACAACCCCCGTTAGCAGCCGGACTAGGTGGGGGACAGAAGTATTATTGCAATAATGGGGTACAGATAGCCTCCCCTCAGCAACAGCAGACAGCACCCGGCAATGCGGTGATGGTGGAACCGGAACCAGATCGGCCCATCGGTTATGGTGCTTTTGGCGTGGTATGGTGAGTGGAGCAACATTCTGTTTTGCAGGGTTGAGGACGATAAAGGGAATGCTTTTGGCGTGGTATGGTGAGTGGAGCAGCATTTTGTTTTGCAGGGTTGAGAACAATAAAGGGAATACAGTGGTGTCTCGCTAGACGATGATAATCCATTCCACTGAAATCGCTGTTTAGCGAAATCGTCTAGCGAAAAGCATTTCCCCATTGGAATGCATTGAAACCTGTTTAATGCGTTCCAATGGGGAAGAATCGTCGTTGTCTAGCGAAGATCGGCCATAGGAAAGCTGCTTTATGAACCGCCGATCAGCTGTTTAAATCACTGTCTTGCGAAGCTTAGGTCCCCAAAACACGGGTTTTGCGAGCGTGGAGGGAGCTGTCAAAATCTTCGTCTAGCGAAAATTGGTTTGCAAAGCAGGGACCAACCCTTGTCCAGCAAAATTCCCCCATAGGAATCACTGTTTTGCGAATCGCTATAGCGATTGCAAAAAGTCAATGTCTAGCGAAAAAACTGTCATGCGGGGTAACTGTCTAGCAAGGCATCACTGTAATAATAACAGCAATGTGCCGTCAAGTGAATTCTGAATTATGGTGACTCTTTTCAGGACTTTCTAATTAGAGAGAGTACAGTACTCGGAAGTGGTTTACTGTCCTATTATTCTGGGACTGATGGGTCATGAGTTGCTCTCAAAAAAATGGCACATAGGCTGGCTCTACTCACCAAAGGCACAGTGGAGAATCGAACTTCCAACCTCTGGTTCTGCAGCCAGATACCTATAAACCATTGAGCTAGCCAGAGAAGAGGATATAAGAAAATCAGCTGGACAGTGGATTGTAGTTTGAAAGGCATCATGTTTTTCTCCCCCGCAGGTCGGTGACAGATCCCCGTGATGGGTCACGAGTTGCACTCAAAAAGATGCCCAACGTTTTCCAGAACTTGGTCTCTTGCAAACGGGTTTTCAGAGAGTTGAGGATGCTGTGTTACTTCAAGCATGACAATGTGAGTAATACAAGGCTGGCTGTAGGCTTGAGAAGGCCAGCTCTGCACCATATCTTCTGATCACTATCCTCTTAGATCTGAATCGCCTCTCAGAGCTGGGAAAAATTACTCTTTCAGACATCTCCCAAAATCCTCAGTCAGCTCTGGGAGGTATAATTCCAAAAGTAACTTTTTTCAAGCTCTTTCTATTGGGCTATTCTCTCGGTGGGGACAGGCGTGTTCTGTCGCCAACACAGTGTGGCACGCCACATCTTTATATTTCAAATGCTTCTCCTCCTTCCTCCTTTTAGGTTCTCTCAGCCTTGGACATTCTCCAGCCTCCACAAATCGACTGCTTTGAGGAGATGTATCCTTCTTCCCATATATAGGCTAGTGTAATTATTCTCCCATTATGCCTTTCTTGTTTTCTCCTCTTATACCTGTTCTTACCTGTTCCATGTTGCCTCTTTGCTTGTTTGCTCCGTTTTCTTAATGCTTGTTTAGTTTTCTGAAGTTGTATTTGTTTAGGTTTTCTCACCCCTTCTGATATATTAGTTGTGTATTTATTTTTTTATGTTTCCCTTTATGGTCTCTTATGTGTTTCTTCTCCTTCCTTTACAGTTGCTGTCAAACTTTCTGGGCATTTTGTTTTCTCATGTCATTTTTTTTCACAGCTTAGGCATTTTTCTTGCCTAATCTCAATTCATTTTATTATATGATCGATCGCTCCCAGCCTCTCTTTATTGATTACTCAACCTCTTTTTCCTGGGCATTTTGTTTTCTCATGTCATTTTTCTCACAGTTTAGGCATTTTTCTTGCTGTTATCTCAACTCATTTTATTATATGATCTATCGCTCCCACCCTCTCTTTATTGATTACTCAGCCTCTTTTTCTGCATATAATTTTCCCCTTTTCATTCCATATAAATGGCCTTTCTATAATTCTTTTGCGTTTGTGTCTTTTATTATTAAAATATAGGGCAGCCTTCTGACATCTAGCATCTTCCAGATGTGATAGATTTTGTATTCTCGTAATCTTTCACGGCCACGATCCAATGGTGGTTGTAGGTTTCTTGAGCTGTTTGATCAACAATATTGACAGCTCTGTCCGTGCTCGCAAAACGGGTGTTTTGGGGACCTAAGCTTCGCAAGACAGCTATTTAAACAGCTGATCGGCGGTTTGCAAAGCGGCTTTCCTATGGTCGATCTTCGCTAGACAACGACGATTCTTACCCATTGGAACGCATTAAACAGGTTTCAATGCATTCTAATGGGGAAATGCTTTTCGCTAGACAATGATTTCGCTAAACAGAGATTTCAGTGGAATGGATTATCATCGTTTAGCGAGGCACCACTGTATAATTTTTCCCTTTTCATTCCATATAAATGCCCTTTCTATAATTCTTTTGAATATGTGTCTTTTATTATTGAAATATAGGGCAGCCTTCTGACATCTAGCGTCTTCCACATGTGATAGATTTTGTATTCTCGAAAGTGTTCACGGCCGCAATCTGATTGTGGTTGTAGGTTTCTTGGACTGTTTGATCTCCAGAACACGGCCAAATGGCCCGAAAAACCTACAACCATCATTGTGTTAGATTATGTTGGTTGTGCCAGGTGGGGACAATGAGAATTGTAGTCTAGCATATCTGGAGGATGCTGGATTGGGAAGAGTATACTGCTTTTTTGCTTATTCGCAATTAAAATGTAGTTTTTATTCTGATTTTCATTTTTCCAATTTAGCCTGTTCCTCTCAATCTGTGTTGGCTTCTCTATTTTTTTTGTCCCACTTCTCTTAAGCGTACATTTTTCATTTTTCAATTTTTCTTCCTGTTCTTCATTGCTCTTTCAGTCACATGTTCAATCTGTTTCCTATTCCTTTAATGTTGACTTGTCTGTGGTTTCACACATTCTGTACTTCTGCCTCTTAATTTTGCTAGAAGCAGTTGGTTCAATTACTAAACAGTGGAGAACCGACTTTTCTTTTCTGCCTTTGACGGGAAGGGTTGGGCCCTCAGATACCTGGTCAGTCTCCCTTCACCCTCCTTGACGATGTTCATCAGTTACGTCATCACTGAGTTGATGCAAAGTGACCTTCACAAAGTCATTGTGTCTCCTCAGCCACTAAGCGCTGACCACATCAAGGTTTTTCTTTATCAGATCCTCAGGGGTAAGTGTGACGTTAAAATGCTGGCACCTTTCCTTGTAGGGGAACGGGTCTCCTGTCCATCATTCTCTACTTAGGTTTGTTTTGTATTTAAGCCAAAAACAATGAAAAATAGAGTCAACACTCAGGTATAAGACGTCTTCACAACACTGCTTCAGAAAAGCATTGGAACTGGGAATGTTGTCAGTCCACAAATGATACACAAATGAGGAAGAAGTGGCTGCCGAAAAAAATGATCAGTGAGATCCTAGAGCACATTAATAGAACTGAAGTTTCAGTGTTACGAGAAGTCATAGGTCCAATTTATTCCCTATTAGCATGGCACGCTCAGAGTCCCATATTTGGTTCAAGGTGTTACAGTTTAAGACAGGGAGTTGGAACAGAGACATGTGGTCAAGGGTATAGAAGACAAATCCTGTGTGGAAAGGGTGAAGGAACCGGATAGGCTTAGCCTGGTAGAATGAAGACTGAAGAAAATGTGAGGGCCCCTTTTGACTAGGTGAAGAGTTATCCCGAGGAAGAGGGCAGAGTTACCTGCTGCCCCAGAGGATAAGACTATACAGTGGTGCCTCGCTTAACGAGCGCACCGTACAACGACGAAATCGCATAGCGATCCCTTTTTTGGGATCGCTAATGCGATCGCTCAACAACTTTTAGATAGGACGAAACTCGCTTTGCGAAGATCGGTAAGCGTTTTGCTTACCGATCTTCGCAAAACGAAGCCCCAACGATCAGCTACCGATCGCCGGAAGCCCCGAAATGGCCCGAAATGGCCGTGCACAGCGTTTTCGCGCCCTCGTTAAGCGAGGGGAGGGCGTGAAAATGGCTGCTGGCCATCCCGGAACATCGCTGAACGGTGAGTAAAGGAGCCGATTGGAACGCATTAAACAATGTTTAATGCGTTCCAATGGCTTTTCCTGCCCCGTTCAGCGATGTTTCGCTATAGCGAAGGTTAATCCGGAACGGATTAACCTCGCTATGCGAGGCACCACTGTATCTAATACACTTAATACAGAAGGGAAGATTTGGTTAATGTTAGAGCAAACATGGCTTGGGAAGTCCAGTTATGGGTCCAAGATGGGAGGTGAGGCTTCCATCGCTGGAATGTCACTCATGACAGATAGCCATCGATCAGTTATATTCTTAGTTTCCTTTGCAAAACAGGGTCTACAATTTACGACTCTGTAGCCCTAATGGTGCACTCAGGCCTGAAAATGGGAAAGGCTTCAGGTCTGATACAGAGCTTGTGAGCTCATTCAGCTGAGCATCCTTCCATTGCTTCTGTGATTAGAAGTCTTAACAGGAGTCGTAGTTCTAGAAGCTTTGTAAGTTGCAGGCTTTGTGTCAGATCTTCACACAGTGGCTAAAATCCTGTTGCTTAGTGTAGTAAATGAGACTAGGATGGACCCGTTCAACTAGTAGGGATTTGGTGAGTCATCTCCTTCATACATTTCCCTGATTCAGAAGGGCCTACTTTACTGCAACTTACTAAGCTAAGCAACAGGATTTCAGCCAGGGCATGTGAGGGTCTGATTGACTTCCAGAGAAGACAGATGTGGGGTAGGGTAGTGCTGCCCAGAGTAGTGCTGTGATACTAATGGGAGTGGGATACAAATTGAATGAATGAATGAATGAATATCACCAGAATTGAACTTCACAAGTCAGATGAATGAATGAATGAATGAATATCATCAGAATTGAACTTCACAAGTCTATCTGTCCCTGAAATTCAAATTCATGAAATGTTTCTCGCCTACATCTTATACTTTCTCCTCTCCTTCTTTTAGCTTCTCTTCTGGGTTTGTTCCATGCTCCACCATGATCTCTTGCTCGCTTTCTCAAACTTTTTCTACCACAGCACTCTCTCGACCCCCCCTCTCTCCCCTCCCCCTCTCTCTTTGGTCATCTGTCCACACCTACCTCATTCCCTTTGTTTTATTTTGGCTACTCTGCCATGCTTCTGGTAGAGTTGCACCCTGATAAAAGACAGCACTCTCTCGAAATTGCATGGCTATTAATTGCATGGCTATTCATTGCATGGCTTTTCATTCTCATCTATTACATTGGCATGTGGCTAAAATAATACAAAAAAATAATAGTTCCTCAGATTTCAGATCCTGTATATTTCAGGAGCGTAGCTACCTCTTTCAGTTATCTGCTGGTCATCTACAAGTTTGTTTAAGTGCTTATAAGCTGCCTGATTAATTTGTGCCAGCCTGATCAATTACAGTGATGGCCATGGGACTTTGTTCCAGCCGTTTGCTTCAGTAACAGCCTAGGATAATTGATGTATCTTTCCCTCCTGCCCCCCCCCCCACTTGTCTTCACCAGGGCTGAAATATTTGCACTCCGCTGGTGTTCTTCACCGGGATATCAAACCTGGGAACCTGCTGGTGAACAGTAACTGTGTTCTCAAGGTAACTTGCTTTCCTACGCAGATGCCCTAGGTATAATTTTCTCTGTTACCACTAATGACTGTAAAGGGTGGGGAATCCTCCTTCAGCCGAAGGGCCAAAACTGCTTTCAGAGAAGTGCCTGGGGACCACATTCGGATGGCGGAACCGCAACCAATATCAGCACCTCTTACCTTAAAGCTCTTACTGCCAGTGACTAGTCCTTAGGCATCTCAGTACTTCTGTGATTGGATTAAAATGTGTATAAACTGGCAAACCACTATGTGATGGTTTTGTGGGTAAGGAAGCACAGCCATATAGAAAGGATCAGCCTGAGGTTTCTGCTCCCTGGCGCTATTTTGATTAGAAATCTTGGGGGGGGGGCAAAGCTTTGGAGTCATGGTGGATAGCTTAGGGAAGACACTACTTCAGAGCCGCTGTTGTACGGCCGCTGTAAAGGAGGCAGTTTTTTTGGTTAAAGATCATTAGGAAAAGGGGTGGATAACTTTTAAGAAGCTGGAATTGACATGCCTGTATATACAAGCCTATTGCCCAGATGTATTTGGAATATTTTATACATTTCTAGTCATGCCTACTTCAGAAAGGCCACCTGGGTATGGCAGTTAAATTCTTTGCGCTGTGTACCCCCTTTCCCGTTGGTTTTCTGTTGATGTGACTGATAATCTAGCACGATTCGTAAGACAGAGTCTGCCTCTGCAGTAGAATCACTGGGTGCTCTTCAGTGAGTCACTTGGTTTTGTCTCCATTGTCATTATTGTTCTCCACTTACAGGATGTGTAATAAACCTGCATCATAGGGTTTTCATGAAGGCAAAGGCCATAATGACTGTAAAGTAATGGTTGAAATATTATTTTTGTGATGACAGTTACTCTGTTCTATACAGTAAGACTACCATAGGACCTCAGTACCTGCAGTTTCACTTATTCCCTTGCTGGAAAATATTGAATTAGAAGCCCAGAAATAATTTTTCCAAACTATATTACCAGAACTGGCCACTAGAGGGAACCAGAGACTGCTATATATGTTGGGTTCCTATATCCACACTTTCTGGCTTCCGCAAGGCGTGTGTGCTTAAAACTGATCTGCCAGAGATACTGCAGTCTTACTGTGTAATTATATTATTTATTTATTTAAAATATTTTTACTCTGCCTTTCTCCTAAGGAAGATAATGTTATAGGAACCTGCTGCTCATCCATTTATGGCCATTGAGATGAAGTAAAGCTTTTTTCAAGTAACAACTCCCAAATCAGAAAAGTAACTTCTCCAAGGTCTAAGGCAGAGGTCCCCAACTCCCAGTCCACAGCCTGGTGCCGGTCCGTGGCCTGAGCCGGACTGGGCCACAGGGATAGACCTCCACCCTGCATGCTCTCAACCTGCACAGCTGATTTGCGCATGTGTACATACTCCAGTGGACCTATGCAAGTGTCATGCCACTGTTTGCACATGCACACATGCACACCTGCACGAGCTTTGCGCATGTGTACATGCTCCAGTGTACCTATGCAAGTATCACGCCACTGTTTGCACATGCACACAAGCATGCACACCCGCACGAGTGCAGCACTGTTGTATGCGCAAATGAGCGCTTGCGCATGCATACAAGTGCGGGGGTGCCCCACCTTCCCCAGCCAGTCCACAGGGTGAAAAAGCTTGGGGACCCCTGGTCTAAGGCATAGGGGTAGCCTTTGCCTGACACTTTCTTCATTTGGAAGGCATTTCAGTTTGTTGCAAGATCCAGCATGTAGAACAAAATGAGTCAACAGGCAAAGAGTTAAAATCTAGAGAATCCTCTGGGCTTCTCCTGATGGAGTCTAGCCTCCTGAAAGCATCGCTCTTGGCTTCCCTGACACACTCAGTCTTCCACACTGCTATGTCAAGCTGTGTATCCAAGAGGGAAGTACACAGCATATAATGCAGGAATTAAAAGGAGGGACTTACACACACAAGAGGAAATGTTCCTCTTAAAAAAAACAACACTCCCCCCCACGCACAAACACACACAGAGCTGAGATCATGAAGAGGAAGGTTAAAACATGCTGCTTCCTCTGGCAGCTAAGCCTCCCAGGACCACCCACCAGGATAAGAGTTAAAATCTAGAGAATCCTCTGGGCTTCTCCTGATGGAGTCTAGCCTCCTGAAAGCATCGCTCTTGGCTTCCCTGACACACTCAGTCTTCCACACTGCTATGTCAAGCTGTGTATCCAAGAGGGAAGTACGCAGCTTATAAGCACAGCGTTTCGCTTACCTATCTTAGCATTGCAATGTTTCTAAAACAGCTGATTGGCGGTTCCAAAATGGCCGCCGAGTGCCCAAAATGGCAGCCACAACCATTTTCGAGCCCTGCCCTTGCTTACCGAGGGCGCGACAATGGCGGCGCTATGGAGGAACTTCGCTGAACAGTGAGTTTGGGCCCCATAGGAACGCATTAAACGAAGTTTAATGCATCCCTGTGGCTTTTTCCATTCCGTTTAGCGATGTTTCCTCATAGCGACGTTAATCCGGAACGGATTATGTGGGGCATCACTGTACTATCAAGGGTATTTTTTTTTCATCCTGGTGACGAGCAGCACACAGTGACACATTTTGGGCCACCTCTCTCTTAACTTTTGTCTTTGCTGATACCCATCTCTTGTCTTTCTCCTTCAGATCTGTGACTTTGGCTTGGCCCGGGTGGAAGAACCAGATGAGTCACAGCACATGACTCAAGAGGTGGTAACCCAATATTACCGGGCCCCGGAGATCCTGATGGGTACCAGGCACTACGGGCGTCCAATTGATATTTGGTCTGTGGGCTGCATTTTTGCTGAACTCCTTGGCAGGCGTATCCTCTTCCAGGCCCAGAGTCCCATCCAGCAGGTATCTGTAGTGGGAAAACCAGCACAAGGGGAAAGGGGGCGGGTGAGCGGAAGAGCAAATAATTTTTGTAATGCTTGTAATGCTATAAAATGCCCACCAGTTGGCACTCAAGAGCAGTCCGCTTTGTAGTGATTTGCATGTTGAAAATAGTTTTTATTTTCCTTAATGACATGGAATTGGCATCACATGATAAGCTTCTAACAGTGTTGACTACCCCAGGGAGACCTTAAATGGTGTGAACATGTGAGTGTTGACCAGTGAGATTATTACTGAGGTGGTTTATTGGTTGCGACCATTAAAGGCTTTCCAATTTAGTTACTTCTGTTTGGTGGGAGAGCATAATATATCGTACAGTGCTGCCCCACATGACGATGATAATCCGTTCCATTAAAATCGCTGTACAGAAAAATCGTCATGCGAAAAAAACTTGGGTAAGCGTCCAGCGGGGCACCACTGTATTTCTTCCTTACAGTCAGTAGATGATGCTGTCTGAAAGTCATTGTCTCACAGGCAAGATTTAGGAAGTTGGCACCCACATCTGTTGTGATGGATGGGACTGAATCCATTTTGCTATCTGAAAATAGAGATAATTTCCACTACACATTGTCACTGGAACTCATCTTCCTTCTTTATGGAGGAACTTGGATGAGTTTCACATCAACATAAAAATGTCCAGATGCTACCCCATAAAACAAGCCACGTTCCTGGGGAAACAGTTGTCAAAAATGTTCACCTTGCCCCCAGATCCAAGAAAGAGTAGCATAGGGGGCCTGTGGCGGGAGTAAGGTAAGTTTTAAAAGGGTCAGTTTCTTGGAGTCAAACGATATGTTACTGCGTTAGAGTTATAGGAGCTTTTCGTACTTCCCGTAGCTTGCAGATTACCTTACTTTGTTTTGTGATTGGTCATCGGGAGGTAAACATGGGCTACATTTGTAAGTAGGATTGCTCAGAAATGAAGCTGTGCCAGAACCCCACCTTTGGAACGCGTAATGTGATTTCAGGTTCCCACGATGTGCTGTCTGTAAGCTGCAGCTTAACCTTCAGTTGTGCAGATGGTGCTTTGAATGCTTTTTGCAAAGTGGGTTGAGAACAGGCCTTGAATCCCTGGGGGAGAAGTTGGTGTAGATCTCCACTGGGTTTCCTCCAGATATGTTGTGACAGAACCCGCACCAGCCCCAGGCAGGGTGGGGGCAGTTGTTCAACGCGCCTTGAGGGGTGCATGGCTGGGGAAAGCCTGGAACAGAAAGTAAACGTTGTTTCTTATATCCTTGCTTCCTTGTTTGGGTGGTTGCTTCGAACTGGCCTCTGGCTTGCAGCTGGACCTGATCACAGATCTCTTGGGGACGCCTCCTGTTGCCGCCCTCCATTCGGCCTGCGAAGGGGCCCGTGCCCACATCCTGCGTGGCAATCACAAGCCAGTGAGTACAGCTGCTGGTGGCGAGAGGCTGAATCTGTGTTGGCTGGTGGGAAGGAGAGAGAGGGTGGCACCATCCTCATTCTTCATTGCTCCTGTCATTTTTCAGCCGTCCTTGTCCGTCCTGTACATGCTCTCAGGAGAAGCCACGCACGAGGCCGTCCATTTGCTCTGCAGGATGTTGGTCTTTGACCCGGTGAGTTGTCCCCGTTGTGGCAAGGAAGATCTTCTTTTTAATCTACCTGGGTGGTTGCGAAGATAGAAAGGGGGAGAAGCGGTGAATAAGCACGAACCCGACCCTAACGATCCTGGAGAAAAGGCAGGTCATAAAGCTAATAAAATCAGTGCAGAGGATGGTACCATGTTGAGCGTCCACTGAGCAGGAGTTCCTGCCCGTGTCATAATCTGGATTTACACCATGGGTTCAAGCACTGCGGATGCAGAAGCAGTGACCTTCCCGGAGAAAGACCACGCCCCTTGGCACAGTGGCCCTTCCTCCTCCTTCCTCCTCCTCCTGCCCCGCACAGCGGCGACATTCAGGCACACGGATCGACTCTGTGTTGCTACGGTGGCAAGACTTTTCCCCTGAGAAAAGGTGCAATAGAATATTGGCTGCTCTTCCTTCCCCACTGAAAGACAAGGCAGGCCAACCAACCAACCATTTTGGAAATGGTGCAGCCTCTACCCCAGTGGCTAGAAGGGACTTGGGTTTATTCTACCAAATTGTGTGAGGCACGAAGTCTTAGTGCAGCCTTTGTTCTGTTAGTCACCAAGATCCTCACTTTATTTCTCACTTTGTGAACACTGTTACCTCCTTTTGCCTTTCAAAACCCATTGTTGGTTTCTTTAGTATGAATTTAGTTCCACCTTCTAAAGCTCTAGTGCCATTCAGATGGACTGGATTACGTAGTATGAATTTAGTTCCACCTTCTAAAGCCCTGGTGCCAACCTCCTCCCTGTCCAACCAGCATGGCCTTTTATAGGAACTGCGGCTTTCACTGGTGAGGAAAACACCAGGTTGGGAGTGAGGAGGTTGATAACTGCATCTTCTAAGGTAGCATCTGAACCCTAATGCAGTGCATCTAAAAACAGGATTAATTGCTTCCCTCCAGAGATACTGTTTTAATCATATGCAGGAATGCAAGAATATTTTGTAAATATTTTGGTAAATTCTTTTTTGAAAAAAAGAAAAGAACAGAAACAGAATTCTGTCCCATCCATACATGCAAACACATGCAGACGTAATTAATCCACTGTGTCTGATGAGGGAATAAACCAGCATTTCTTTATGAAATGCCCAGGAGTTTCATTGACCGTGAAAGGCAAAGCTTCCTGTCTTTCACTGAGAGCTTAGCAACTACTATCCTCTTAGCTGTCTAGGTTTTGAAACATTTAGGCTAATAACTTCTGTGTGCTTATTCATAAGGCTGGTAAGCCCTAGCTAGTCCCACTGAGTTCAGCAGGCTTACTTCCAAAGAAATACACTACGCATAAGATTGTAGGCCGGGTCCCATTGATGATAAGATTCACCTACTCCGAATAGATCTGCCAATTTGGGGAGCCACTTTCTTGCCACCCGCAATGCTGAGTCTGCTGTTTTCCACCTGCAGGCCAAGAGGATCTCTGCCAGGGATGCTCTCTCTCACCCCTACCTGGATGAGGGGCGGCTGCGTTACCACACCTGTATGTGCACCTGCTGCTTTTCCGTCTCCTCAGGCCGCGTCTACACGAGTGACTTTGAGCCCCGGGCTGATCCCAAGTTTGATGGCTCTTACGAGAAGAACCTCACCTCGGTCTGGCAGGTCAAAGGTAGTTAGTCTTGTCCCAGCTGGCCTTGCTCCTTACCTGCTCTTGATTTATCCATTTGCCAGCTCAGCATCTGCTCTGAGGGTAGGCCACCTGGCGCTGTTCAGATGTTCTTCAAATGCAACTCCTATTAACCCTAGCCAACAAGTCCTGAAACCAGGGATTATGGGACCTGTGGTTCAAAAATGTGGAGAACATCAGGTTATCCTCTTACACTATGCTCCCAAAGGGTGTGTGTGTGGTGATAATGTACACAGTTACATCATCATAGAATAATTGAGTTGGAAGGGGCCTATAAGGCCATCATGTCCAACCCCCTGCTGTATGCAGAAGTCCAGGTCAAAGCAAATTTGGCAGAGGGTTGTCCAATTTTCTCTTAAATGCCTCCAGTGTTGGGGCGCTCACCACCTTCCAAGGTTATGGGTTCCCTTGTCATACTGCTCTAATAGTTAAGAAGTTTTTCCTGATATTCAACCAAAATTTGGCTTCCTGTAGTTTGAGCCTATTATGATGTGTCCTGACTTGTGGGATATGATTGATAATAATAAAATAAAAAGCATCATGCATAAAAGCAAACACATGAAAAATGAGTAGGTTAAAAAGAAGTCCAAAGGCAAACAGCAATCCACAGACTTAAGTTTAAAACACCACACAACAAAACCAGTCCTTCCATGCTACTGGATATTCAGCCAAGAATCCGGTTCAGAATGCTTAAAAGGGAATATCATTGGAAACTGTGAGTTGGATCCAGATTCGGTCATACTTTGTTGAGTAATGTTCCATTGATTTCAGTAGTCCTGCCCTGAGAATGATTAATCCCAACAGACTTACGTGCTTGTAAGCCTTAGCCTACATCTCTTGTGCTTTATATATTTGGAAATTTGATGTTCCATGCCTGAATATCATACTCATAAGGCAGCGAACGATCAGCAAACAGCAACCGAAACAGCAATTAAATCAACACAACACATACTTTGATGTTCCATGCCTGAATATCATACTCGTAAGATCAGCAAACAGCAACCAAAACAGCAATTAAATCAAGACAACACATAAAATAACTAAAACAATTAACAGCAGAGGCAATAAAAGCATACTAATAGCATAAGACTAAGGCTGGCCCTACAGTTAGACAAAATGAGGCAACTGCCTTAGATGGCAGGTGCTGAGGGGGAGCATGGTAATGGAAGCTTTCTGGCTGTTCCTCTTGAATACCTGTGTTGGAGGACAGAGCTGTGTTATTCCATATCATCAGCAATACTGATAATAATAATGTGCTGTAAAGTCAGTTCTGACTTACTATAACCCTTTCCAGGGTTTTCCAGGTCATGAATACAGTGGTGCCTCGCATAGCGACGTTAATCCGTTCCAGGATTAACGTGACTATACAGATTCGTCGCTATGCAGGGGGGGGAACCCATAGGAACGCATTAAACTCTGTTTAATGCGTTCCTATTGGGGAAAAATTCACCACTAAGCAGGAATCCTCCATAGGGCCGCCATTTTTGCCGCCTCGGTAAGTGAGGAATTGGCGCAAAAACGCTGCAGGCGGCCATTTTGTTGATCCGGCAGCCATTTTGGAACTGCCAATCAGCTGTTTTCTAACCATCGCAATCCGAAGATCAGTAAGCGAAACGCTTACCGATCATCGCAATGCGATGTTTAGCCTATTAAAACATCGCAATGCGATCGCATTAGCGATCGCAAAAACCGCGTCGCTATGCGGATTCGTCGTTAAACGGTGAGCTCATTAGATGAGGCACCACTGTATTCAGAAGTGGTTGACCATTCCCTTCTTCTGGGAGACATCCTAGGACTGTGCCACACAAGGTGGCTCTACTTGCTGGAGGCACAGTGGGGAATCGAACTTCCAGCCTTTGGCTCCACCCAGAGACCTAAACCACTGAACCCCTAACATAGCATGCTGCCTTAAATATGGCAGAAGATGCTGTCTTGTTGCCTTTACAAGCAAGATGGAACTGTCTGTCCAGCCAGCTTCTTTACATGGACTGAGAAGACAGTGGCCATTTTTCCTGTGTCTCAGGCAGTAAAATGTCACCTGGCCTTGACAGTTAGAATAGAGCTGGATTCAGATATGTTGAAACCCATCAGCGTACAGCGGGCATAGAGGTGGGGAAAGAGCAGTGGAGGAGATGCAAAGCCTTAACTGCTAGATGTAAGAACGTCCAAAGCAACTCATTTCAAAGCATGATAAAAGAGAAATTAAAACAGAAATAAGATGGAGGAACAAAACAAGATGAGGAGAGCCCAGGTGAACAAAATGGAGGTGATTGGGGCTTGGCAGGTAGACAAAATGGGGGAAAGAATGCAGTGTTACCAGGAAAAAAAACACAGAGGAATTCAAAAGAAGCCTTCTTTTTCAGAACTGGTGCACAGGTTCATTTTGGACCAGCAGCGGGGGAAACGGGTCCCGCTCTGCATCAATCCCCAGTCAGCTGCCTTCAAAACCTTCATCCGGTGAGTGTAGGAGGCGTTTTGCCTTTGTTACATAGCTGGGATACGAGGAAGATGTAGTTGTTGTTTTCAAGAAAGAAAAACACCTCTCTTTTTTTCCCCTCCCCTTTTCTTGGCAGTTCCACAGCATGGCACTCTTCCAAAGTGTCCAAAAAGGAAGAGAGATGAAGGTGTTTGTTGAAAGAGGTGGAAGTAAAGTTAAGGAGAAAGGAAGATGGAATGAGAAGAAAGCAGAATCAGCCGATTTTCTTGCTTGGGAGACATCGAAAGGGAGAGACGAAGAGAAGAAGAAGAAGAAAGAGCCACTCTTCTTAATCCTGCACTCTTGAATATTTTGACTCATGGACATGGGGTGGGGGGGAAATGACTGTCTTTTTTATTATTAATATTATTTGTGATCGGGCTGTTGGTAAGGGATGTTTCAGTTTTGGTTTGTTTCTGTTTTGCATTGATGGATGTCTTTTTTCTGTCCACCTTTTACTATTCTGCACTGGAAACTCCTTTAGGTTGTAGGTCTCTTTGTGCAACCTTCGTCCTTGCCCATAAATCTGCACTGTTCCCTGACACCTATATTTTCCCCTTTCCTCACCAAGTTACCTGTCCCTCACACAGTTTTGTGAGCGAGGCTGCATTGTGTCAGTTCCGAAGGGGTGGCGATGCTGGAGTGAATATGTTTGCTTTCCTGAATATACCTGGGCCGTGTCTCCTCTAAATCTTATAATCTTCCACCCTTTCCATATCCTTCCTCATCCCTGAAGCCTTAGGATCTGTTTGTGTTCTCTTTATTACATGGCTATGTATCTCCATTACTTCAACAGTGGTATCTTTTTTTGCTTAACCTAGATTTGCAGAGAGGGCTTTGAACGTCAAAATGTCTGCTATACAATTCCTGTCCTAGCCACCCAACATGGCCACAGGTAAAGATTATGTGAGTTGTAGCATAGAATATTTAGAGGGTCAGAGTACTGATGTAAAATTTCCAAAACTGTCCTTTTTTTCTGGAAAAAAAATAGAGAAAATAGGGGTGTTTTTTCTGGAGGAAATGGGAAATTTTCGGAATTTTACATCTCTAGGTCAGAGGTTCTGCTTTGCCATAGATTCCCCCCCCCCAAAAAAATGAATATAGCTTCAATACTTTTACACCAGGGTTAGGCAACTGTTGTCCTCTAGATGTTTTTGGAGCACACCTTCTATAATCCTTTAACACTGACTATGCTGGATAGTGCTAAAGAGGATAGTAGGCAGTGGCGTACATTTGGAATCGCCAGTGCTCCTTATGACAGTCCTCTTAGCCAGCCTCCCCTGCTTAAGGAGAGTCTAGAAATAAATGTAGCTGGATTGGTCTGTACAAGGAGCAGGTCTTCTGTAAAGTTAACAGCTCTTAATTGCTCACGCAAAACCCAACCAAGTCTCAGATAGTTTGCACCAGGAATAACAGTTCCTGGGAAACACTTTTTTTCACCGAGCTACTCTGAGGGTTGCCGCTAAACAGGTAGAACAGGCAAGCCTGAGCAGGGTCGAGATAAAATTATCATCTCTGCTACTTGGAAAGTTCTGGAACTTCAACCTGGTGAGCTCCGATGCCATGTCATCCCTGGCCAAAAGCATTGAGAGGGCTCACCTTTGTCCTCCTCTCTCGCTCTTAAACGCCGGACCACATGGAGTTCTCTCCACTCCTTATAGGCGTGAGAGAGAATGAGAGCCAAAAGAAGCTTTGTGTGCTTCCCATTGGGGGGGAGGGCATTTTGAGATGGGGTGATTTTGAATGGTCTGTGGTTGGATGCCTGCCACTCTGTCGCCCCACTGTTTTCGTGCTCCAGATGGCACTACCCTCAGGGGTGGTCTCCCCCCCCCCAAGACTGCAAGGGGAAAATCACCTTGGGTAGATAATGCCTCTCCCAGCTCATTTGCAGTTTTCTGCTCTAATCTGCCATCTCCCAAGACAGCTTTTTAAAAAGAATTACTTAGGGTGTCATATAAGTTAGGCCTCCATCTTCCCATAAGAGTCCCTTCCTGACTCTTCTGTAGCCAGATAGCACGACCCTTTCCATTCTTCCTAGCAGCTTCCTCATTAAATATATTCCTTCACTATTTTCACACCCCTTTTAAAAAAATCTACCTCTTTTCTCCTAGTGGTTTTTTTTTCTTTTTTTACGTTTTGTGTATTAATTTGTTTGCTTATTTTCCTGGTGTTACGTTTGGTGCGCTTTTTAAAAAAAAAATGCTCCTGTTTTAATTTGTTTCGCCGGTTTCCATTATTAATTTATGATCACAGCAGTTTTCTGTACTCGTTCAAATTCTGAGAGCTTATGTGTCTGTGTGTATGTATTCTTCTCTTCCCCCTGAAAAGGGAGTCGGGGAGGACCCAACCCTGAAAACTTGAACTGTCTTGGCTGTAATAATTTTTCCCTCCCTAATTTAATCGTGCTCCATGGTACCTGAATTAAATTTATGCTGTGTATTTTTCTCCTGTGAAGTTTCTTTTGGGTTGGGAGAGAACCTTTTCCTGAGGAACGGGAGACGTGTTTTCTAGCAACGTAAGACTTCCAGGTCCTCTCTCTCTTTCTCTCTCTCTCACTTTTGTTTGTTTGTTGGTGGTGGGCTACTGAGGCTGCATCTGCTTCACACTGATGGTGTGTGTATGGATGAGGTTCGGAAGTGCCCTTCTGTGGGCTGTCAGCCTCAGACGACATGCTCAGGAAGTGATGTGAACAGGCCCCCATCGCCACCACTTCCTTGTTTCTACTGTTGTCAAAGACGAGACTAAACTTTGCTTTTGTCCCGGAGCTCCCCTAAAGCAGTGCTGCCTGCGTTGCTGCAAAGAAACCAGCCTTGAGAGATTTGAGGTGAGTTATATTCACCCTTTCCTGCCCAGTCTCTTTCTCCACTGGGGGAATTTGCTAAATGGGACCCAGTTGGCAGGCTTCTCTTCCGTCTAATATCCCTGCTACTGATGAGATGAAGCTAGGAAGCTAGCTGATACTGGGTCAGGCCACCAGTCTTTTTTGCCGATACTTTATGGTTAACTTTGACCGGCAAGCAACATTCCAGGGTTTCAGGCTGGATTCCTTCTTAGCCTTGTCTGAAGATCTTTGATCTTTCTTGGTGGGGCCATACCTAAGGATTTACCATGCCTGACTCAGCTTAGCTTCAGAAATTGGACAAGAACAGGCATTTTCCAGGCAGTATGGTGGTTACCCAAAAGCTTAAGAACAGTAACGAGAAGTGAATATTGAGTCAGATGACTGGTTCGCCTTAGCCCACTATTGTCATCTCCAGCTGGGAGGGGCTCTCCAAGGGTTCAGCTAGGATTATTTCCTTGCCCTTCCTGTAGATCATGGGTTTTCCCTGGTGGGTTTGCATTAAATCAGGAAAAGCATTCCCCACAGAAAGAAAGAAAAACAAAGAGGCCTACTGTATAGCCTGCTTTTTATAATTATTTTTTTAATCCGTGACCTGGCCTGTGGGCCTTGTAGCCGGAGAGGACTTAAAGCTAGGTCTCTTGGTTCATGTGAGCCAACATTTTAACCAATCTGCTATATGCACTCTCAGTTCCTCAGGCTCTAGGAAGTTGGGATTTCTGTAGTCTAATGTCTCTGGAGATCACCAGGTTGGGTCAGGTTTCCCTAAGAGTCCCTTCAATACCCTAGTTCTGCAGGAGTGCACAGAACAGCCTTAGCCCAACTTGGCACCTTCCAGATCTGTGGAACTACAGCTCCCATCATTCTGAGCCATGAAGAGTTGGCATCCTAGCACATTTAGAGGGTGCTAGGTTGCACAAGGGTGATGTAGATCACTGGTTCTTAACCTTGGCTTACTCAGGAGTTTTGGACTGCAACTCCCAGAAGCCTTCACCACCAACTGTGCTGGCTGGGGTTTCTGGGAGTTGCAGTTCAAAAGCATCCGAGTAACAAAGGTTAAGAACCACTGATGTAGATGGCAGCCTTGGATGTGAAATTAGAATCCTTTTTAAAAAATCAGTTTTCAAGTTTTTTTTTTTTTTAAGACCTAATGGAAAGCAGTTAGGGGCACCATGTGGAGCAATATCAAAATACGAGAGTAAGAGTAAGCAAAACTTTGAAAACAGTGTTGAGCTTTGGAATGCTTGTCATTCCTTGCTCTACCCTGCGACAAGCTTTAATATAAATTATGCAAATATATGCCAATGCAACCATTGATGGTTTTTCCGTTGCTTGTTCTGAATCTCCACAGTTCTATCTGGAAAAGAACAAATATCTAGTCTCCCATTTTTGCACAGTCCATCTGACAAAACAATTTTTGCTCCAGGTGAAACTTTGTTCCGGCTGCACTCGTCTAGCCCTCCTGATCCGTTTGCCACATCGGTGCTCGCTGCGGGTGCCGTGATGCCTCCGCCCACGGCGGACTCTCCACTCAGTGACTGCAGCAACTGCTTGCTCATCATGACCATACTTGCCATCATTGCAGGTGTATTCATAGTCATTTCGGCCATCCTCTGTGAACTAGTTTTTCGTGGGTCTCTGTCCCCGGAGAGAAGAGGGGTGAAATCCGTCTGGAGGCAGGGTGGGGCTCTGTGGATTGAGCCAACCCAAAGGCACAAAGAGCCGGATGTCTTTTTGAGGCCATCAGAAACTGTCCCCCTGTGGATCCAGCGCTCTAATAATTGGTTTCTGCATGACCAATCAGCCCAATCAATTACATGTGATTCCACTGAGGACCTCCAGAGGGAGACACCTAGTCCATGCAGTTGTTCTCCTTTGTGGGATGAAGATGAACACATTTGGGGGGTCCAGCCAAGAGTAACCCTTCAGGAGCTCGAGGGTTTCTTCCGCCGGCATATTTAGCATACACTGTGACTACTTAAGACCTGGCACCACCGCTGCTGTTTCCTGAATCCAAGAAAGGTCAAATCTTATTGTTGGGTGCGAGATACAAAAATTTGCCCTTTACAGTGTTTGCCCAATGGAGGAACAGAAGGAATGCAGGAAGATGTGGGGAATGAAACATGAACAAAATCCAGAATGTGTACTCTGGTAGCTCGTGCAAACGTTCAAAAACTGATATGAAAGGCATCAAAAACGAGAATTTTAGAATTAAAGTGATATTTTATGTCAAGGAACAGTTGATTAGGAGAAGGAGGCGTGTAAAAAAAAGTCAGTAAAAAACAGAAATGAGATACATCCCAGCTTTCTTTAAACATGTTTTTCCGTATCACACATCCTTTTTGAAAATAATTTTATTATGTTTTCTTCCATGTATCATTTTGACCTTTGGGTGGAGGAGGCCGGCACTTATGAGCCCAAACGAACCATCTTGTCCTGTGTCAAAACATTAAGATTAACCTTGAAGATTCTGCTGAATTTCCAGACTAGGGAAAGAAGACGTTGTGTTGTGGTGGCTTGACTGTGGAATGCTCTTCCGGGTCCTTACCCTGGTGGCATCAACTGAAAACCTTTGTAATTTATCTGGGGTGAAATATGCAGTGTTTAGAAAAGTTACCTTCAGGGAGTATTAACTCCGAAATCACTTTGGCAGCATGAGGGCTGGGGGATTCTGGGAGTTGTAGTCTTGGAAAGTAACTTCAAAACTCTGGAAATCCCTGGCAGAGGTAATACTACTTCCTAAGGCCTGCCAAGTCACAGCAGCCAGGATGTACACATGTACATGTATCTTTGTTTTCTCCCTCCCATTGGGAGAGAATTTCAATTTACTAGGCCATCTTTGTGTAGCTTCTTAGCTGATCGTCCAATGCTGCATGGTTGCAAGAGCAGAAAAGCTTCCTATCATCTGGGAAGGGATATTCTATGTGCAGAGCTCCCTCTTCATAATCCAGAGCATCCAGCACTCCCACCAACATCTTTTGAGGCATCATGAGAACTCCGGCCAGCGTGACACTGCAAAAACAATAGAGTGCCATGGGACCTTGTGGGCTCATAAATTGTAATTAATACAATCCTCAGAGACTGCAATTCTACCTCGTCTGAAGATGTGGGCCACAGTTCATAGCAGCTTACATAAAGTGAAACCTGGTGGGCTACAACAGGCCACAAAATCTGTGTTTAAA